ACGACTTTGAATTTTTTTGGTGGCCTTTCCTCTATTTTATCCACAGCATTGACACTTGTTTAGACTCAGGACCATACTGACGAAGCCAAGCTTCATCAACTGTTACAATACGGTTGCAAATATCATTCGAATAAAATTGGCACGATTGTAAATACTTCGGCAACCTCCCTTTCGACGCTGATTATCTACCGTCACGACCATTTTTTTCATATTCAAATGTTCAAGCAAAATCTCTTCAGTAAGTACTTTGCTAACTTTTAATCCTTCTGCTATCTGTACAATTTAATTCTTCTATCAGCCAGTCCTAATTTTTTTAACTTTCTGAACATTTTCTTTTGTTTTTGGTCTCAGGTGTATATCGTTAAGCATTTAGATTGCTGTTGCAACAGTACATGGCTTTACTTATATAACAGCAAAATCATTATTCAGTCATTCCCGTGGGACCGAGCAGTTATAAAAGAGTGCGGTGTGGAGGTTACGCTAACTGTGCTCTATTTGTTTTATTAAAAAACTAAAATTTTCATTATATTTTGAACACATCTATGTATATTTTCAATAAATTTTGCACTCTCCAAAGCAAAAACCGTGAGAGGAAAAAACTAGTGAATCGGTCTCAAAAGGGTATCCGGCTTATGCGCAAGATGATAACAAATATAAACTTCTTTGCTGCTACTTAACACTGTATCTGTGATATGTTTAAATAAAGTAAGGAATACTAAAAATCGGTAAATGTATTTTTCTTAGCAGCTTGTGAATAGATTGATGCTTCATATGCCGGATATATTATTAGAGAAAAATTAGATCATAATTTAAAATATGGTACTTTTTTTTTGGAATCCCTTTTTCAAATTTTCGATAGATTTTTGGCGTTTTTACGCCATAAAGAACTTATATAACTGATTTTTTTTGTGCGAGAAAAATCGATTTCTTTTCGTGACTGCCTTTGCTTTAACCTCACCTAAGCTACTTTAATTGATTGTCAGCGATATGTTTGTAATAATTTATGTTTGCGCGTGATGCCCTTTTTCAAATATTTTGCACTTAAATTCTCACAAAAGTATTTGCATAATTTTAAGTGCAATTCGTTAAATGTCTCAGTTACGTTTTATGTAATTTTTAATACGTGTTTACTTATGTAAAAGTATATTTGTTTGGGCACCACTGCCTTGCGCCTTTGCCTACACGAAATGGAAATTTTGCATTTTTTATGAATGTTGAAAAAAACTTTTCGGTTACATAGTTTACGACTTTCAGCACCTAACTGCATACAGGCACATGCATATATAGTTGAAAATTTATATAAATGTAGAAGCCGAAATGTTTGTGCGAAGAGAGAAAAGGACCAAAGGGACGAGAAATGTCGCATAGCTTTTGCATACGAAAATAAAGTCATTTAAAACTTTGGAAATGACAAATTTAACGATTCATGTAAAGAAAGAGAGAGAGAGAGAGACCTAGAGAGAGAGAGAGAGAGAGTGATGGAGAGAGAGGGAGAGATATAGAGTTTAATGGGGTCACAGAAATTTCGAGGCAGTGACAGAGGAAGTGCAAGGAAATATTGCAGCATAATTTTATATTTTTATTATTGAATCTCTTTTTTTTTCATTATAAAGAAATATAAATGTGACAATATATGAACGATGTAGTAAAGGAAACAAAAAAAAATTTCGAATAATTTTGTGTAAAAAAATAAAAAAAAAAAAATGAAATTCCAAAGCAGACACGACAGTAGGCAAACAAACGGAGAAAAGATTGCAATCGGAAACGTAAAAGATTTTGTGCGAAAAAGTTCAATTCAGCTATTGGAGAGTGTAAATCAGCAAAGGAAACCAAAGAGATTAAGCATTACCATGAGCAGCATGTAGCGGCGGTGGAGAGCTTCTTGAACTTTCTTTCGAGGTGTTAAATAAATTCAACATCGATTTCGGTTTACTTTACGGACATAACGAACAAACTGTAGCATTTTTCCGCAAATATTTCTTGGTACGTGTACACAAAACTAAGCTAAAAGATATTATTGTAGCAAAAGCAGCGATTGGAGCACGTCGCTGCGACTTAAGGTGGCTTAGCCGATATAGTTGATAGCATCGAGCTGAAAATACGTGACTTTTACTTTGTTTGCCGCAAAGCAGTTTCTAATGCATGAATGCATATAAAGTGTAGAAAGTCACTAAGCGAAATGACATATAAATGTTAATATAAATTCTGTGTTCACTAGGATTTACTCTCATCTAAGCGGTTACTTGTACAAATGCTCATATGCTTTTTACTAAGAAAATACCCTTATGTATTAGATGTAGTACAAATAAATCTTTTATTTTCGTATGAAATTAAGGGCTGTGGTTTTGACTTTTCGCATCCAACCTTATTCAAGTGGTTCCAAATAGTTTTTTGTGCAATCTTTAGCTCTTGGGTAATCGAAACAGGGCTAGCATGATGGTCGGACTCGACAATGCCCATGATTTCATCGACATTTTCGACAGTTGGCCATCCACACCGTTCATCTTTTCATCATCTTTTACCAAACCTAAGCATTATTGACTGTTACAGTATCAGTACCACAAACGCCATTCACATTGCAGCCACCTGGCCCGTGCGTTCGCCCTTATCTAAGAAAAACTATAAAATATAGCAAATTTTCGCTCTGCTTGTGTCCATCTTTGACACACACTCAAAGAAAACTGAATCAACCGATCACAAAACTGACCGGACTCATACAACGCCAGTTAACAGTTAAATAACACTATCTTTTCGAAAATGTATGGATTACTTGTTACTAGGTCTGATATTTTACTCATATTTATGTGACATGTAAATTTATATATTTTTAATTTATTATTTTTTGTTATACAAAAGTTTGAAATCCATTTTTCACTTCAACCTTGGGTTGCAGTTTTAATAAGAGGAGCCATGTCAGCGATATACATTCGTACATTTAACCAATTTTTCACAAGGAGACATAGACTTGTGTTCATAACCCGCTTAAACTCTTTAAACGGATGGCAAAAATGAATGGAAAAGTCTTCATACATTTTTTCTTTTTTTTTTTTTGCAAATCTTACTTTGGTCCTAACCCTATCACTTACTCCATATATCAAGCTTTTCTTAGTGTATTTCTTGCCCCTACGTATTTGATCCTCTGAGCTTACATGCAATTTATTCAACAGACAACCATATGTATCCATCCTCGACTTAGTAAGGATTTGCATATTTAAAACTGGCACACGTAGTCTTGCAGCAAATGCGGTTGAACGCGTCCTTTGGCTACAAATTTAAAGTTGGCAAAGATGGGCAAAGCGTAATTGTGAGAATCAAAAGTGAGTGTTGCATATGTGAGAATTCCTGTTGGAAGCGAGAAACTTTGCTTAGTCGAGACAAGTAATTTACACTTTAAATAAGATTAAATGTACAAGTGCATATGTAAATGTATTTCAAGAAATATGAAAGTAGAAAAATTTCATTATGGTAGAAAAGTAATGCAAATCTAAACGAAGATAAATTCAAATTCTTATGTGTAGACGGTAGAAGCTCTTAAGATGTACTCTTTTTGCAATGAAGAAAAATGTATTGAAATGAAAATAAATTACAACAAAAACGTAAACAAAATATTCGTAATGTTAATTAAGCAACGCCAAGAAATATAAAGGAAAAATAAAAATATCGGGAAAATATGATTTTTGGTACTTTACCACTGGTAAAAATCATGACTGCAAGAATTTTTATAAATTAAAAGACCCTTTAGACTGCTAACGGTCAAATTATAAAACAAAAGTATTTTTTAATGTTTTTAATAAAAATAGATTTTTGACTTTTCTCAAAATCAATAGAAATATTTATTTATTTTTAATTAATTGCAAACTGGTCTTGAGGAATTTTCGTTATTAAAATAAAAAAGTTCAAAGGTAATAGTTGATTTTTATGTTATTTTTTTTGGATTTTATACCTAAAAGCTGGCCAAAGGCATTTCAGCTTTAGAGAGGCGAACAGGAATTTATCTATTCATTTTCCCTTAATTCAAAATATTTTTTACATTATAAATAAATGCATGAGTGGAAACTTTCCTCTTGGAGTCCGCTAGCCTGCTAGCGAGAGTTGTGTAGGCAATCTAGCTTTTTAATAATTTTATAATTTATCTCGAGCATTCTATCCACTTATAAATGTCTATATTACCGCAGGATTTACTCAACTAATTCCAGTCAGTAAAAATAACTACAGAATCGTTTTCGGTGCTCTGACAGGGCACTAAAGAGTCCGATGTCATGTGAACAAATTAGGCATCATCTCCAAATACTTATGCGGCTTTTGTAATTTTGAGCCGAAAACATGGGTTCCTCTATTAAAAGATTGCGTAACTGTCGATTAACGAATGACAAGCCATTCAAGTGTATTTCTGATTGAACTCAAGGCTCCTCATGGGCGGGTTAGAATAAAGTCTGGATCTCTTCATTTCTACAGCGATTACAAAGTGACATACCCAAAGGAGCAAAGTAACTAATACATATGTATGTACTTGAAATGGGCTTAAATTTCCTTTCTTTGTTGGTGAGAAAAAATTTAAAACTTTTCCATTATCCAACATAGAGACTTTAATCTGATTGATTTTGAGAGTTTGTTACCCTGACTTCCCACTAAGCGGCATAAGTTATACTTATGTATATAGAGGTTGTTTATTTTCAAGCAGACTAGTAGAATTTAAAGTAAGTACAAATACATTTGTATGTAAATGTAGGCAAACCTTGTTGTATGCATTCATATATGTATGTGCACAGCGGCTGTTGTGTGTTCTGAGTACGGAAACTTTGACTTTCAGCCTTCAATTCTCGTCATTTGTAATGACTGCTAATGCTATCATTACACAAACAAATATATATATATTATATGTATGTATGTGTGTTTTGTGTTTGCATACAGTTTTTCGTACTTCTTACCTGTTCACTTGCTCGTTCTATCAACCATTTCCTGACTTTTCTAACTGAAACTCAATATTTTTCAGCTTTTTTTTCAATTCAAATATTTCTCAACTTTGGTTGTGACAACAACATTAAGTACAACGCGAAAATCACACAAACTCATACATATACGTATGTAGTACGTGACAGTTGTTTTTATTTACGGGCAAATCTGAATCACAACTGATTGTGCTGAAAAGGTATGAGTTCTCGGTGTGGTTTTGTATCACATTTTCTTTTTACTTTTGTATGCACATCTGCAAAAGTAATATGGAAAGTTCGTAAAAAGTTACCAGCTCACGAAATGGCATATGAACTAGATAAACATTGATTTGTGCAGACGCAACTGAAAAGGAAAAAGTATAACGTAAAAAGCGCTAGAAACCGGAAATTCGTTCTAATATTGATTTAATAATATATATTTGTAATAATTGTATAATAATTACTAATCAATACCATTATTTTTTACAGAAATTTACCTGAACTTGCCGGAACTGGAACATTTGGTAAGTAATGTCAGCTATTTACAGGTATTTCGTATCTTATTTGTGTACAAGTAAGAATCGAAGTTTAAATATTTGGCGCTGAATTTACTAGGATTAGTTAAGACTCACTACCACCTACAGCCTTTCTAAGGTTAAAAACTCATTTTTGATTTATTTGAACTTCCAAACCAACACCATTATGATACTTTTTCTAATTGCTACACTTTAAGGCTACAAAAGAATTCGAAATTTTTTGCAAATTCGTTTTATCATCAATTAATATCAACAGCATTGGGTATGATGTAGTCAAATATCTCATAAATGTTTCGTCATAAGGTTTCATCCTTTACTTTTACTCAAAAGCACTTGATAAAATTTCTTTTATTTTCAATCTGTGAGTGATTCCGCGAAAGCGGATGTTTGTCACTATAAATACGAGAGTAACAAGTCGCCTACTTAAGGTACTAGTTTTTAGGATAATAATTGTAAATGCTACTAAACAAAAGGAAATTATAGATTTGTGTATTATTTTCCTAGTCAGACCAAGTGGTTCAAGTGCCTATAATTCAACAAATAGTTTTTTGAGTCTCTCTTAATATGTTAAGAAATTTTTAGCTTAATTTTAGTTGTGAGTCATGGCGTATGAGTAACTCTCAGACCAGTAAAATTTTTAAATCTAAATAAATAAAATTTAAAGGACGAATCGAAAATACTGAACTATGAGAGCTTACTTGAAAACATGAACTATTAAAAACAAATAATTAATTTGATAACAAAAAAAAATTAATAAGCAATTTACTTGAAACAATTAAAACAAATTGAAATATTTATTTAAACATAATATTAATACAATAAGAACTGATAAATTTAGTTAGCCTTTGAGTTGTAAAAATATTCTAAAGGAAATCAAATTGTAGAAAATATTTATAAGAAAATTTGAAAACTGCATAAAAAAAATTGCAAAATTTTCAAATTGAAATTTTTAGCTAAAACAATTGAATTTCAAAAATATTAGATCAATGAAATGAAATTAAATTATTTTAATCAAACAATTTGGTGAAAACCTCTTTTGGAGAAAATTTTATCCAAAGAAGTGAATTTCTTCGTACCTGGAATCCTTCCTGGCATTTAGAATATGCTGCAATAAGACATATGAATATAACAGTTAATTTAAATCAAATTCATTTACTGTTTGTTTGGTAGGAAGGTGGAAATTTTCAATTTTTAGCTCTTGTGAAGGTTGTCATCTTCTACGAACGAATTCTGAAAGTACCGCCCTAGTCCTTGCGACAACAATATTACTAAGCTGACCTTAGAAGTTTGAATTAAACAAGGAATTATATATGAGAAAAGCGAAATAAAAAACTTACTCATAGAAGTTCATTAACAATTTTTCGACTAGAAACATTGAATTTAAAAATCCAAAAATAATAATTGAAAAAATGAAAAAAATTGTATTTAAAAAATTGCTTTTAAAAATATTTAACTGGTTTTAAGGAGCTTAATAATTGAATTGGAATATACTTTTCGAAAAGCGTTAAGTTGAAAATTTTAATCAAAAAATTGGATATAAATTGTATGAAAAAATAAACTGAAGTAAAAAGGTTGACTTGAAGAAATTTACAGAAAATTTTAGTTAAATAATTGAATAAAACAAATTTTAAAAATTAATCAAATTAATAGAACAGAATATTTGAATACGAAACAATGAATTGAAACTTAATTTTAAATTTTAAATTTTAAAGCATTTAAAAATTGTAATAAATTGTTCGTATTGCACATCTCCCTGCCCGTGACTTGCGATGCTATGCGAACAGTTTTACATTCGGCAACGGAAATAATTTGAATACGAATATAGTATGTGGGTAAAGATTTGTATTGAAAAAATCAGCCATAACTAATATTGTCAATAAAATTAAATTAAGCACGCCTTTTTTATACTTGAGTATATGTTTTTCCACATTGGAATATTTTTCTTACGCAAATATCTCTTCCCAAATTCCATCCTTGCATTACAAATGAACAGGCGAGATTTCCATGCAAATATGTTTATAAAAATTATATTGTAAAGTCAAATACCTGGTTTTGAAAAATAAGACATCGACGGACAGTGCAAGTGGTTATTTTTCGTCAGCTGAATTGTGAAAGCATCCTTGCCCAAACACGGTCAAATAAAAATTGCACATTTTCATATCTTTAGTATTTTGAAAAATCATAAATGGATTATAACGGTATTTGTGTAAAACTACCCGCATTAACGCACCCAATCTGTTAAAGTTTACTTGAAAACTTAAAAAAAATGACGACACACATACATTTACCTACTCAAATATCCAAAACTATTTGAACACATAATAGCAAAGTGTTCACATTAAATTGTAACAACAACGATCCGCCCTTTAACAACACCTCGGAACGGCTCTCATAATACTAAGTTTAAGGCCTGGTAGAACAGAACAATGTGGCACATCCCAACTATCATATCAAATTTCAAGTTGTCTTCCCAATTATTTTACTATCTGCTTTTGTACTTTCTTTTACACCTTTACACTCAAAACTCCCCTAAAGATACTTAAATATACAGCTCATCATTTTAAGCTTGGTTACATGCATTTATGTACGACGTGTATAAAGTAACGAATAGCCTCAGGCAACACCTGAACTTTATGTGTATTTTATTGTTGTAGCAAAACACTCATAATGATGGTAAAACATAAACAATGACGGTGAATAAAAGATAGCAAATGGTATGCCACAATTTACTTATTCAGCTGAGGAGGCGTAGGGAGGCAATAGCGATTGCAAAAATCACATCTTCCATAGAAGAGTTAAAAGACAGGAGCTCATGCTTGTTCTTCTTCATCATGCCTTTGCAATTTTCATGTGCCGCTAAAAGTGGTGAGAAAGCATAAAGCAACAATCATAAAGCATGAAAATTGTGTGATAAGCAAAAATTGTAGCTACACTTAGTAGGAGTTTTCGTATTATATTACATCTTCTTCTTCTCCCTTTACTCGTTGCCCGGCTGCCAGTGAGCTTAACGTTTTCATTTTAAGCTCGCAATTTTTATACTGATTTTTGTCGATCATTCAACAGTGATTTGCAATTTAGCACAAGTGTACTATGTAGTCTTGTGTGCTTTGAGAAGTTTATTTTTGCCTGATACGAGTGCGGGCAGTGTATGTTTATATACACAGTTTGTTATGATATGCGCTGGGGATGCTATTGTTAATACCATATTGCTTAAGATGATGACATAACTCAAAAAGTAATGAGAAGAGAGAGCACTTTTCGAGGCCATGCTAAAAATATTGGCGTAAGTTTATTCGAATTGAAGGCTTTATTAACCGTGGTTAGAATAATCTGATTTATGTCAAATATGCACTGTTGTCCTTGCTAACATTTTGCCATTTCGAAGGTTCTTCTCTTATAGAAACCCTTGTTCCTGTTGGCAAACAATTGGGACAATCGATTTTCGCTTACTTTGGAGACCATTTGAACCAGCTTTCCGTCTTTCGACCCTGGCCACTTTCATTTGCTGTTGCTATAAGTTATACATTTTTGATCCATTGTTACAATCCACTTTTCAAGTCAGCCATTTTCAAGTCTACTGTTTTGCTCCTGGGAAATCAAAACAGTGCTCTCTTGACGGTCAGAGTTGAGGATTTCCAACCGGTGGATTACCTTTTACATTACTGCAATAAAATTCACGAAACCTAAATTATGGCATATATGACTGTTACCGTACCAGGACCTTGAACAATATCGAAAATAAATTGTGGAATATAACGTTTTTTTCTTTGCTCTTCCTTCCATTTTCACTTTAATAAAGCCTGCATATACAGCTTCTTCACTGGGAAGAATTTTGCTTGTTCGTGGCTTGCATGGCAAGAGGCAAGTGCATCCGCCTTCCCATTACTTCCAATGCCTCAGCGGCTAAGAACACAAGTAAGATTTACTTTGTTATGTTGATCCACTTCCTGTAGAAATTAGCGACAACTCAGCACAAATTTCTTTAATATAAGAGAACGAAGCGACGAAATATTGCTCTTCTTACCGCTGAAAATAAAAATATCCTTGAATTGACGATCAAAACAATGTTCGAGTGTCTGAAAGAGAGCTCAAGAACTAGGCTTCTCAATCCAACCATCAATACATATCGCAATTTTGTCGACTGTCGAGGTTGTTACTGTTAAACAAAAATTTAATAGCTGCAGCAATTTTCAAGGATTTTCGGAGTTCCAAATTAATCCGCTTATTTAACTCTCATAGACGGTTTATAACTCATGAAGTAGTCAGGCGTTGAGAATACTATTTTCGACATCATTTGGCGTGACCTTGAGTTTACTATTAGTGCTAGTCATCGCGGATAATTAAAAATGATTTTCAGCGACTCTTTGTTCTTCCTAATTTGTGCCGGCATGGAAGCTTTTAAGAAAAGGAAGAAATTATAGTCAGATGGTGCAAGTTCTGAACTAAATTGTTTGGATACGTCAAGACTTTCCAACCAAGTTGCGTTCATTTTCACATCCTTATCAAAGATGTATTAGCTCATGTGTTGTTATGATGAACCCTTTTCAAAATAATCTTAAATCTTCTGACAGTAACTGAATTTTCTAAGCTTTTTAGTGTCCTAGCAACTAGGATAGATTATTCAAATATATACATAAATAAATTAATGTATATATATATGTATATATCACTTGTTTGTAGGTTTTAGTAGATCTGCGACTCATATAAAATTTCTTGGAAATCTTGAACATATTTCTCGGAATAAAAAATACAAAATTCAAATAAATCTCAAGTGTATTAATGCTTTCAATTTCCATTTATATTGACAGAGTTTCCGTAAAATGCCTTTAACCTTCGATACCGAACATTCTTACATAACGTTCTCCTCTGATTACTTTATTGCATGTTAATAGGAATTGCATGATTTTTCAAATTAATTCTAATAATTCTCCAGCTTCTGATATTAACAGTCATGCGGTGCTCATACTCTCCAGATGATTTGCAAAACG